GCGGCGGCGGCGGCGCAGAGGGGCGCGGCGCGGCAAGATGGCGGTGAGCGTGCGAGGAGGCCGGCTGAGCGGGCGGCGCGAGGTCCGGCCGCGCTTTCCGCCTCACGCGCTCTGTTTCTCCCGCAGGACAAAGAGAAGAAGAAGAAGGAGAGCATCTTAGACCTGTCCAAGTACATCGACAAGACGATCCGGGTGAAGTTTCAGGGGGGCCGCGAAGGTGAGACCCCCGCTTCCGCGCTCTCCCAGCGATTTACAAGAAGCAGCGAGCGCCGGTAGTGACGGCTGCTGCTCGGGCACCGCGTAAGCGCTTTGCTGGGGAAAGTCATGCAAGCCTCCTGGCGACGCCGGGACGTCGGAGCTGCTACGTCCATTTAGCAGCTGGGGAAACAGGCATGGGAAGGGGACCCAGCCTAACCCGGAGCCACGGTGGCTCAGCCGGGGCTGGCATGCAAGCCTTTGCCGCCCGTGCGGTTCTGTCGCTGCAGCTCCTCACTGACCCCCATACGCCAGGGTTCCTCAGGCTCCAGCCTTGTTGGCTTTTGGGACTGGAATGTTCCCTGCAGAGGGGACGCCCCCGGCACCTGGGGTGTTGAGCAGCATTTCTGGCCTCGCCCACTGGCCCTGGGGGGCAGACTTGCCAGGGCTGAGACCTCGGCCCTACAGTCTCTCCCTGTGGATCAGAGGGACCTGTTGAAACAAATCTTGTTCCCTGTTCTGTCCTCTGGGGCTCCCCATTGTCTTAGAGTAAAACAGACCTTTTCTGTTACCGAGGAGCGGGTGGAGCCCTCGTCCGCCGCCGGGCTGTAACGGTGCCTGTTTTTGCTTGGCCGGAAGTGCTCTTAGCAGGTTACCTCATTACCACGTTGACTGCCAGAGTCATTTCCATGGCCTCAGCTGGAGGTTCTTGCTTTGGGAAGCCTTTCCAACTCTCCACCCTGGGTCGGGCCCCTTTGTTAGACCATCTTGGTAGCACTTGTCACATTTTGCAGCTTTATGTGTTACCATGGTGACTAACTTGCATCTTCCACTGGAATCTAGTGAGGAGAGGGCAGTACAGTGCCTCGTCCCTGCCCTTCGGGGAAAATGGGCAAGCAGAGTGCTGATGCAGGGGGGCACGTGCATCCACCAGGTGAGACCAGGCCACAGGGAGGCCTGGAAAATGACAGGAGCAGGGAGGGAGGGGCGGGAGTTGGAGCCTCACAAGCAGAAGCTCAAGTAACTGGGAGAGACTTCGGGGCAGGAAAGATGAGTGGCCTGCCAGGGGCACTCAGGGCTCATCCCCTCTCAGGTGCAAAGATTTGTCATTTGGTCAAAGAGCCATAACCTAGGATGCTTGTGTGTTCTATAATTGAGGTAAGATTCACATAAGTTAAAATTAATCGTTTAAAATATGCAATTTAGTGGCATTTGGTCCCTGCTCCCCAAACGACTTTATCTTACGCCTTTCCATTTCTCTTCTCTTCTCCACAATTCCTACAAGCCAGTGGAATCCTGAAAGGGTTCGATCCGCTCCTCAACCTTGTGCTTGACGGCACCATTGAGTACATGAGAGGTGAGTGAAGCTGGCGGGGCTCGGAGACACCTCACTGGGCACTTCTCACTGCCCCAGGTCCACCACCCTGCCACCTGAGCAATGCGCATGGTCCTCGCAGACCAGACGGCTGCAGATGTGCTTTACTTCCCACTGTCCCGGCGTTCCCGACAAGCTCACTAGACCATTGTCTCTGGGACTTAAAGGGTATGGGCCCACCATCACTGGCCTCGCGGCGCCTGCTGGGCACTAAGAGTGTGCCCGATGTGGTTAGAAAGATGCCAGCCCGTTCTGGAGCCCCGGCAGCCCCGTCTCCTGCCATCCTGTGTGTTAACCCCTGATGCAAATGGTCCCATTCCCCCAGGCCCTGCCCCCAGCCTCTGTCCGGCCAGGGCCACAGACTCCACAACAGCCCACACAGTCAGGCCAGCCCAGGCCCCTCGGCCCACGAGGTCTCCAGCACAGCCTGAGCCAGGCGTTGAGGAGACGCCAGGACCCGGGAGGGAGGATCTTGACCCTCGGGGCACCGTTAATACTCTGATGCACAAGTTAGTTTGGTGAGGAGTTGACGAGTCCACACAGGAGTGTCACGGGGCCACCGGGGAGAGGCCCTCTCTGTGGGAGAGGCCTGGTCTCAGCTTATCAGCCAACTCCAGGGACCTCTCACTTTTCCCTCATATTCCTTCCCCGCCGGGGTCCTCCTGGAGTCCCAGCCCAGCCTCCTAGGTCTGGGGACAGCCCAGTGCATGGGGCCGGTGGGGAAACCAAGTCAGCCCGAGGTGCAGGCTATTGGGCCCTGGGACATGTGGCTGCTGTCCCTGCCACAGCCTCGCCTGCTGGGGGCTAACTTGCTTGTCAAGTGAGTCTGCGTTCCCTCGCTGAGGGAGGCTGAGCCACCACAAGGTTCAGGGGGTGGGGAGGGCAAGCTAGACAGGGGCGGG